GAATTAGTTCTTACCATTATAATTTACACATTGATTTGTATGGTTACTCCACCCAGGGGCATAGGCACAAGGGGGATCCAGAAGAAAAATTGGGAAGGGTGGGGGGAGGTCGTAACCTCGTATATAGCTTTCATCTATGACATAAAATATACCAAATCTGTGGCTTCCAGATCATCATAAAACGTGTTTAAAATGCATTTACTAACGTTTCACAGACCCTTCTGTGTCTTCAATGTGCCCCCATTTTTTGAGGACATGCTCCCCCACTCATTTGGGGCTGGTTATGTCCCTGGCCACACCGTGCATATAATTTTATATAGGTTGTGTTTTTTTTCTATATATCTTGCATCTGATGCACATACACACCTCTCCAGGTTTAATTGTTAACATAATCTCATCATCACACAACACAGCAGAAACCTATAGAAGGAACTGTAGGCTAATTATCTTGTCACAAATTATGTTGTATCAATTAATAACACTAATTACATTTAAACAGTTTCTTTACAGACACAGTACTCAAAGAGTCTATAATTATGATAGACTGTCTACTTACTGGGTACAATCCACCTGCAAGTGCTTTTCCAAGAATTACCATGTCAGGACGAACTTCTTCATGGTCCACACAGAGGCGCCTAGTGCAGAAAAACCATTTTTCTTTAAATTCTTGTGAGCCATGTATAATAATACAACCTTTAGCCATTTAGGTATATAATTATGTCACATATAGTTTCTTGGCCTTGGAGTGCCTAACTCTTGTGAGTCAAGTGGAAAGGCTATTCACACACAATTCATTAGAACAAGGCTCCCAAGCCAAGGAGGGATTTGTGTGATAATTAGAGAGGTTCAGTTTTGACTTCGACTACTGCTACCTCTGTCCTCTCACTGGTTTAGTCTGCATCTGATTCATTAATCGGATATAAGAAATGCATCTGATTTGTTAAAATGGTAGCTGTAGTGATCTAGTGTAAGTCAAATCAAATCCCATCCATCAAATGGATGACATATTACTGCATGCTACTATACCTTCCAGTTCGACACAATCCAGTTTGAACTTCATCAGCAATAAATAGAACCTGGATAAAAGGTACCAAATAATTAAGCATCATGATTATGGTATAAGAAATCATGAAGTATTGGTATAAGAAACTGCCTGGCAATATAGAATATTATTGACAAAATTGAAAAATATATACAACCAATCGTGAATTTTAAGTCATATATGCCATATAGGAGGTTTACTGTGAAATGCCATACATTAATTAAATCCAGCTGACAATTGTTCAAAAATTCAGCGTGAACTTACATTATGTTTATCACATAGCTTCCTTACACCAGTCAGATAACCTGGATCTGGCACAAGAACTCCAGCTTCTCCTTGGATGGGTTCAACCATGAATGCACATGTGTTTGGATCTTGAATTGCCACCTTTAACATACATACACAAATACACAATGCAGTTAAATTTCGAGGTGCGCAACATATTGCTTTTTCACACTTCATTTACCACAATTTTCAACACATAAATCAATAAATTTGAAATTGATTCTTAGTTATCATAAAAATAAAAGAATGCGTACAGTATACCTCTATTGCTTCCAAATTATTGTACGGCACAATCTCAAATCCTGGCATATATGGTCCATAATCTTCATAACAATCAGGATCAGTTGACGCTGAACACGCAGCTAACGTACGACCCCAAAAATTATCTGCTGCAAACACGACCTTAGCCTGATTCTTGGGCACACCCTTCACCTTGTATGCCCACTTACGTGCCAACTTTAAGGCTGTCTCCCCTCCTTCCACACCTGTGTTCATAGGCAACACTTTGTCATAACCGAAAAGTTTTGTCACATATTCTTCATATTCGCCTAGGAAGATGATTGGTATGTTCACATTTCCACTTCATAAGTTTCTCTAATTTGGCCTTTAGACCCTTTTAAAATTATTTTTAGCAAATTTTAAAAACTCCTTGCACTGACATCACACATCCTTAGAGTGTCCTCCAGATGCTCCCTAACAGTATCTGTTCGGGTACAATAACCACATTCAGCGCAAAAATTAACCATTTTAATACAAAATTATTATACGTTTTACAAAATGTGCTTTGTTTATAAAAGTTATATTATGCATAGATTGCTAATTTGTCCTCCAGATGCATCATCGCCGGCGCTGTGACGTCATGTGCAATGGGTCTATTCCTCCACTCTCCCTGTCTGTGAAAAGGATTGACAGCTCTCAAAAAATTCACGTTTGGCAATTCCAGCATTTGGGGGCCTCCTTTCCAAAAAACGGGCCCCCTTCCCGACTTTTCTTTGGGGGTGTTACACCCCACCCCCAAGTCAGTCCGGCCCTGCCCACTTACCTAAAACGTCGTTATAAAAAGCTCTTGAAGTTAAAGTTATGTTTTCAACTTGTTTCTTCATAGCAGCGACAATCTTAGGATGACAATGTCCTTGATTCACAGCAGAATAAGCACTAAGAAAATCAAGATATCTATTGCCTTCCACATCCCAGACATAAACACCTTCACCTTTATTTAAAGCCACCGGTAAAGGGTGATAGTTATGTGCTCCGTATTTATTCTCTCGTTTAAAGATTTCATCAGCTGATAGCTTCACAGACGGCGATGCAGTACACGACAGATTTCTTGCAGAAAGTCTGGCCGGTGTACTAAGAACTCGAGTAGCCAAAGTGCGAAACATTCTCGATTTTCGATACCGGCATTACTGTACAAACTCCGAATAACAGTGTAACTAAAATAAACCAAGTCACACGTGTCCTTTTAAAAAGCTACTTGTATTAACAAATTATCATTTTATTATTTCCTTGATGTAAATTATTATTTCCTTGATGTAAATTAGCAAAAATATTTTCACACACAAAGACAACCACACGAAACACGTGAAATTTTCTGATGCAATTTTCTAAATGTAAACAACGAACAACCCCCCTGGAAAACCTGCTGACCGGTTTACTTAAAGTGGCTCTCCGCAGATTCACTGCCTCTTCCAAAATAGTTCTTCATGCAAAATATTTTTAAGAATTTAAAACATTGAACATGATATTTTTGTTTGTGTTTTGACGTTATGTACTCAGGTTAAACATGAGTATCCAATTTCTGTAAAATTAAAAATGATCGATTGAAATCGATGGCGTTTAACAATTCGGCAAAATGACCCAATCATATCTCAACAGTAGTGGCACAGCCCTGCCTCCTCCGTTGGCACTCGCTGGATTATGGATCGATCCAATTACGATTTCCGCAGGGAGTGGGAAATTGTGATCTTTTCATGAGGCAGCAAGCATTCGCAGTCCACCAGAAAGCCCTCTGAAGACACGCTAGAATCGAGCCATTGAGTTGTTTCATGCGGCATTGTCTAACTGTTCAATTTGAACAGACATAGAAGGTACGTATACAAGATATAATATGTTGAGTGTTAGAAAATGTTCGTTTTCAAATTTCAAATGACGAATGCAGGGACAGAACTAGGGGCCATCCAGAAGGTAGACATCAAACCAGTCACGCGACTGATGTACACGTTCGGCGAATAATTTACGACATTCTAAATTTTAATCAGTTATCATCTTGTTCATGACAACGTAAAGAGAGATCAGACGGGAAAGTCTTAGGCACCCACCTCGCCTAGAACACTTCAGGTAAAAGGTGACAATCTAACATCGCCCCCACCGCCCCATTATTTTAACGATATTAAGTGTCCGCCATTGTTGCTCACCTGGATCACAAAGTGTGGGGACCCTACGTTCTCCGGGCAAAGGGGGCATCTTCGACAACTTTTGTAAAACACTCAATCGCTTCTATAATATACCCTCGAAGGGCATCAATAAAAATTATTACATCTGCAATACTATCGATTCAAAATTTAGAGTTAATTCGCCAGTAAAGATCGTCCAGTCATTTCCGGAGCTAGTTCAATACCCATGGCATCCAGTATTGTAGTAGCAACATCACACAGTGCAGCGTTATAATCTCCAGGACACGCGAGTTTCAGATCTGTGTTGTTCATTATTAGTGGAACTAAAATGAAGAAAAAAACATGTCCGCATTTTTGAGCAACTGATTTAAACACAAATCTTACAAATCATTCAAACCTTAAAATTTACCCATGCAAAATTCCTACTGTGATCACAGAAACTTTGATAGTGTAAACCAGGCTTAATTACCCAATTCCCTCACCGTAAACTCGGTATGCGCACGATAATGCGCAGACTGGCGAAAATTGTCAAGTATGTCTTCGTCCTTAATCCAAACGTTAATCCTAATCCAAACCCTAACCTCTAACCTCTAACCTCTAACCCCTAACCCCTAACCTCTAACCCCACACCCTAACCCTAACCCTAAAGCCGGCGGTCCGCTGCCCCTCCGGGGAAAATACCGTACCGCCTCGCCTCGCCTCGCCACCATCCACCAAGCCACAGAATAGGAAGTTATACCAGAAGCGTAACTCTAGTCGTTTCCCTTATTGTTTGACGTCCACGAAAATTTTAACTCGCTCACGTCAGGCCACGCCATCCTGGCTAGTACAGTCGGAAGTTTTTATCAGGATTTGGTAGGTACAAAGTGCCGGTTGTACTAGCCAGGATGGCGTGATTGATGACGAATCGCTTGTAAAAACGCGGACAAATATTTGCTCGAGTTACGCTTCTGGTATAACTTCCTATTCTGTGACCAAGCTAAGCCAATTACATTTATAACTAAAACTTTTGTCTAATGCTTGTGGTTTTGTCTTCAGTTACAACCCAATACTTTATTACATACAATGGCATTACAACGCCAATAAATTATTGGTTACAATGAGCGGAACGGGTGCTTCGTCATCGCACTTCGTTCTCTTGTCCAAACTTTCTAATAACGTTTACACGTTGTCATGCCTAGTTACTACTGAATTGATAATACAAGAATGGAGAATAATGTAGGTAACCAAGCATTTAAGTGACTTTATTCAAATGTCAATGGGTATAAGCACGCCTTAGTCAAATTGGTAAGAATTGTATCGATATTATCAATTATTGTTTATTGAATTCCTCACTCATTGGTGAACGGATGTCCCAACAGACTATTGCACAATTGATTGGGAATTTGAGACACCTACGGTTTTAACGCCCTTATCTGAGAAGACGCGAAAGTCTAACCATTTACTGATGTGAATGTAAAAATAGCACATTTTCCTCAATTATTTAAGACTTCGAGTAGAGGTCAGACCAAGGATTGAACCCGGGCAGGGTGTTAGCCAGAAGTAAAAAAAAATCCGCGTTTACCTGAAATTGGGAAATTTATTTTAGCCTGAAGCCGGGTATTTCTTTGTGGGTCTGGGGGCATGCGGTTTCCCCCTCTCTATTTTTAAAATTTTTGTGTCTTTGAAATAGCATTTCTCGCATTTGGGAGTAATTTTGAGCAAATGTAGTTATAAACATGTTTTTAAATAATGGCGTATTAACAACATTGAATTTCTATAACTATTTTTTGGCTGACCCAAATTGGGAAATTGCGACCTCAAGGTAATTTGGAAAAACGCGTTTAACGCGGAATTTTTGACTGTAGCTAACACCCTGCCGGGTCTCCCAGTTTGGAAGGCAAGCGTAGTGACCACCACACCACAAGAACTGGCTCTATGTCTGTTCCATTCGTTCTATGTCTCAAGTAATCATGCGTTTGCCCCATTTGACCGGCTATCATGAGAAACTTCAAACTAACTAGAACCCATACCTCTATAATTTGTATGTGCCGTGTGAGGTCCACCTTGCTCACTATACATCTTTTCTGCGTTCCCGTGGTCAGCGGTAATAAATAAAATATAACCGTTCTCCTCACAGGCTGCTTTGATTTTACCAATTGCCATGTCTAACAACAAAACATAAGTTTTTGTTCAACCATAGTTACTGCCGTCAAATTTCCCAACTAGTGTCTTGTATAGCATACCTGTAGCGGTACAAGCTTTCACAGCGGGTTCATATTGACCTGTATGCCCAACCATATCTGGAGCTGCAAAGTTGCACATTACGAAGGGATATTTACCACATCGTATTCCTGCGCAAACCTGCAAGGAACATATAAAGTAGTGTTACCCAAAGTGTATGGTATTTTGATATATATATTTTATCATAAGTTGCCATGATGGTTAGGGTTCAGAGTTGTTTAAAAGTCGGGTTTCAGTCTTATTTCTTTCACTTTTCAGTCCGACAGTCCTCCATAAGTTCATGAAATTATAACCAGACGAAAGCATTATTCGGCTCCTTTCAATCTACTCTTAGGTTTGAAGTGTGATCGAGTAATGACTTTTGGAAAAGAGACCTGGAACTAGGGAAATTTACATTAGCAAGATGGTGCATCCAAGTATACTACCCCTGCCGTTCCCACAAGTTAGCGCTGCATGGTATACTGATATGGTGGCGACTGTTACGATTAGGTTTACTCCCCCCCCCCCTGTATACCTCTTCAGCAACGCCATCACAACTCATCTCTGGTTGCAAGTCATAGGTTGCCACTTTAGGTGATGGAACCAACTTTCGATCTTCC